TGACCTATCCCCTTCCTAACTCCCTACCTACACTCACCTTTCCTGGCCCCATCCCCGCCTCTTCGAACTGTTTGTTTCCTCTCCACCTATCCTCTCCTCTATCCCTCTTCTATCCGCCTCCCACTCTCTCCCTATTTATTTCAAAACCCCCTTCCCCTCCCCCTTTTCTGATGAAGGGTCTAGGCCCGAAACATCAGCCTCTCTGCTCCTATGATGCTGCTTGGCCTGCTGTGTTCATCCAGCCCTGCACCTTGTTGTCTCGGATTCTCCAGCATCTGCAGTTCCTACTATCTCCAGCTGCATTCTCAGTCAGGATAGGAACTCTGGAAATTAAATCATCTAGTACCAGGAATTTTATCTGGGACTTTTTGAGTTTGTTTCAATACCATCCAAAATAGTTCACTGTGCATCAGGAACCTCCAACAGGATAGTGTAGAGGAAGCTTTGTTTTTCTCTCTAATGTTTGTAGACTGAATTGGGAAAAGGACTATTTTAAAATGGATTATGGAAGGGATTGCTGCACTTTTTAAAAGCAAATTACCTCATACTGATTTAAAATCGTGTTTACACTGCTGCCAATTGCAGATGGCTTAGTACCATGGGTTGTACACAAGATCTAGCTGGCAAAAACTTGCTGATAGGTTGAATATAAAGGAAGCTTTATTTTTGTCTAACCCCATGCTTTCCCTGCCCTGGGAGTTTCTGATGGGCACGGTAGAGAGAGCTTTACTCTGTATCTAGCCCTGTGCTGTCTCTGTCTGGGAGTGTTTGATGAGGATAGTGTAGAGGAAGCTTTATTCTGTATGTAACCCTGTTTTGTCCCTGTACTGGGACTGTTTGATGGGGAGAGTGTAGGGGAGCTTTACTCTGTATCTAATGCCGTACATTCCATGCCCTGGGAGAATTTGATGGGAACAATGTAGAGGGAGTTTTACTCTGTACCTAACCCTGTGCTGTACCTGTCCTAGGAGTAAACACCAGAATTAGAATTCCAATCCTGAATTATCTCCCAATGCCAATTCTAAAACTGACAAGATATGACAACAGATAGTTATTACACAGAGAATTAAATATTCAGATAAAGCTGGAAATCTGTTTAAAAACAGTCATTAACTTCAAATAAGGAAGAATGATTGCTTCTGCAGTATTAACTTTGCAGCTATTTTCAATATCAAGGGAAGATGCTGCTTGTTGGAATATACAAGCATGTGAATGTAAGAATTAGAAGCAGGAGTAGGCCATTCAGCCCCTTAAGCCTGGTCTGCCATTCAATAAGGTCATAATTAATACTGTGTCCCATAATTCTAATCAAATACAAGGGGAAACATCCGTTCAGCATCCACCCCGTCAATTCCACTCAGAATTTTGCATGTTTCAACACGAACACCTCATCCTTCTAAACTGCAGGGTCAGTCTGTCAAATCTTTCTTCATAAAGATATTCCCCTAACTCCCTGATCTCAGGTCTCAGTCAAAGGAGGGGGATCACTCAATTGGGGGGGAATGTGTGATCAATAATTAGTTTCAATAGCACAGAAATATTTTCTGCTGTGTCATGCTGTGCCTTTTTGATCATTTACTCCTGGAGAGATTAATTTTGTGCTGATATTTTCTATATTTTCGTGATTTATGGGCAGCAGCATTAGAACGTGATATTTGAGGCATTTAGTCATTAGTTTTCAAAAAATAACCTTTACAAACGTCCTTTTTCCCCCTCATTGGCTAACACAATATTCTATTGGCTAATTGTGTTGTAAAGATTGCACTGTACTTCCTCAGTAAAATATTAACATCATGGTTCATTCTTTCTCTTTGCATGAGAAATTGAAAGTGGGATTGAGAGATCCAGAGAAGTGAGTAGGAGGGATGGAGAGAAGGCAGGTCACTGGAATTGAGAAAGGCTTGCACAACTATTTTCCATCTAATTCAATGTGTACCAATAAGCATGAGGCTGGATTTCTCATTTTAAAAAAATCCATGCTCTTTCTTCCATCTTTCAACTACTAATTCCCCAAACTGACACCGTCCGCCCTACTACTCAGAGCAAGATGCTGTTATACTATTCTCACTGCAGAGTCTCATTAAGCCACTGGCAGATGAATAGGAAGTGCAATATCAATGGGTACTCATGAGCTTATTACTGGTTTGTTGCATAACCTATCACTTGTTCAAACACTGGCAGGTTGCCAGAAGCTGAAATACAATCTGAGCCAATTCTTTTCGAAATAACATCACAGTTACAGCATGAAATGGGAGTTTCCCTGCTTCAGAAATGTAGGGTTACACGAGTGAAAATATTCCATTCACATCAAGTCACAACGTATGGTTGAGGGAATAAAGATACGCCAGGGTTAGACAAGAGATACAGAGTTTATTTTGTGGGACTGGGGTTTGGAACATCCATTACAGGGAGCAGAAAATACAAAAAGTTTAGATTTTACACAATCACTACCATTAATACAAAACTCTTCATAGAAAGAAACAATGAGCATCAGCGCAACTAGCAGAGAAACATTAATCATGGCTGCCTTCCATGTGGCTCTGTACAAACAGGTTTAATTGGCAAAACCTGCAGATTCCTCCAACCAACACAGCATTTACATTTGGAATTCCACTAACTCCCAGTAAAATCAGTCTTCGTGTTGCTGCTCACTCTTCTGGGATTCAACCCAAACTGAACATTTACTTCATGCAGAGATTGGGGAGGGGCTCAGACAAGGTTCAGCAGGCTCTGGGTAAAGCTCTGACAGTGTTTGTATGTAGGGAAGACTATCCTGAGTAACTAGGAAACTTCTCCTGAAATTAGCACTTTATGCTTCACCTTGGATATCCTTGGAGACCTCACAAAGGGGCAATCCACCTGGACTCAGTGCCAATGTAATCTCTATCACAGTTTAATCTATCATGAAACTGCTGTCATTCTCCGACCCTGCAATAAAAGATACGAAGTAACCCAAGGATCTCTGCACAGCACACACAGATTTTCAAACACTGAGGAGATTGGGGGGCGTACGAAACTTGAGCACCAATCCCTACCGGCCATTCTTATTCACTCCCACAACTGAGTAGAATTAAGAAAGGCAGCCAAGAGGGTTTGGAAGGTTTGTGGAGGATGTAAGTAATAAATAGATTTTTTTAAAAAAGCAAAAACAAGAGAATGGCAATTGGGTTGAGAAAGAAAAAAAGACTTTTATCAAAACTGTACTTCCAGTATTTTGTTTTTATTTCAGATTTCTACTGTTCACAGTATTTTGCTTTTGTGTTAAGCAATTGGAGCTTTTTTTAAACTTTTACTACAATAACTGAAATAGTCAGAGTTTTTAAACTCCAAGAAATTCTTTATAGTGTAATATATGCAACTCTTTGCTTCACCACACAAGAAGAAAACAGCTGGTCTTTGTTCTCAGCTACAATGCCTTGACCAGCCCAGCATCGCCCCACTGGGGCCTGAAGTTTCAGCAAGTTACCTCTACTTGGCCAATTTCAGAGTAACATTCAGCCTGTTAACTCCTGCCACAACAAATCTCACCATCATCAGTCCACTGATAAATCTCCATTGCCCCAAATTTAGAAAAACACCAATTGCTTTAAACAGTCCATTAACTCCAATAACGAGACAAACTGAGGTTAAAACCTGGAATGGAGCTGCTTTATCTCACAGATTTGTTGTATTTCCAGCATACAATCTGACCTCTGCAACATCTAGTATTGCCTTCTCCAATCTTGACTAAAATGGATAGTCAACTCTGCGGGTTGCCCAGGAATGCTGAAAGTCTGCAAGGACTGATGAACACTAGAGACTGTATGTACAAGCAGAATGTACAGACACCAAAGAAATTTGCAGACTGTCCCCAGGGACATTACCTAATATTGCAGGTTGACAAGTACGGACACTACATGCACAGACACTACAAAACACTCCGACTGTACACAAAGACTTCAACCAATTTAAGGTTCTGAATGAATGTTTCACTGTATTTAACTGCATCAGCCTGAGAATTAACTGGGCCTTCCTCTTCAAACAGTCACCCAGAACTACATAGACCACAACAGAAGTGTGCATACCTAGATTAATCATGAAATCACATAATTTAAACAATGTCTTTAAAAGCCAATTTAGTAAAGACCCAGATTCACTCACTGGGAAGGTTTGCCGATCCCAGGAGGAGAAGAGACACACAAAAACTGGTAAAACATTTATGGCTCAAGAGGGACGGGGACAGACACAGAGAGGAGAGTGAGTTAGAAATAGTGGTGGGGGGGATGGAATCGAGAGATAATGGGAGAGAGTCAGAGACTGGGGGAGGGGGAAAGAGAAAGAGAGTGGGGGAGAGAGAGAGGTTGCCATTGAGATCCCCATCCTACAACTATCCAATAACTATCCCACTGAGAGCCCACAAGTGGAGTTTGGGTGAGGAAGGCAATTAGTCTTGGCTGTGATTGAATATTATCATATTGTTAACAGTCAGGCAGGGGCCAGCTCCTTATGGATCCACAAAAGGAAGGAGGAAACAGGAGTTGGAAGCAACTGATAGGGCTGGGAGTCATGGGATTTCAGCACTCTTGTATCATGTGATGACCCGTGTACCACTTGTTAGGGAGCAATTATTTACAAATACCTTGGTGCTGCATAGTGTTTAGAGCTCTAAGAACTTCACAGTTAGAGCATCGCACTGCAGTTTGCCTCATGATTCAGTTGGTTAAGGAAGTGAGTTACTGCCCACAAACAGCAATACAGAAAATATCAGTAAACTAAAGATGGTGCCCAGTGTATGAAGGGAACATACCAGGAGTATAAATGAAGCAAACCTGTGAAGCCGCATCAGTTCAGTATCAACAGACATTCCAGAAACATTCTATTAGCTTTCATTTCTAATAAATCAATTTACATTCTCATTGTGAGCGAGCATTTGTCATTGACCTAGTTACACTTTAGTTGATTCGGCCCATTAAGCCGAGGGAGCCTCACTCAAATAAAGTACAATGTGAGCATGTAGGTTATGTTTGCTGGACCCCCTATCTCTATAAACCATTGGTCGCACATTAGACAACTTTCAATGCAACCCTAAATATAGCCACAGTACAGACCTCCCACATTGGTCACATACAACATGTAGATAACAGATGTACTATTTAGTTCTATTAAATCCTTGTGCTGAATTACAGGCAAAGAATTCCCAAACTGATCCTGGGTCTTCCTTTGCAGGACATCCTTAATCAAAAGCACAGTCCTGATTTCTGTTTGGTTTCTGATAATGATTATGAAAAAAACCCAGACTTGTAAATATACTTAATAAATGAAAGATTGGGGAGAGAGCGAGAGAGAGAGGAAGAGTCTACACACGTTACCATATGACACTCAATGCGTAGTAGAATATTGCTTCTATCCAGCTTGGTTAATCAGGGATAAAAGACATAAAACCAGAGATACATTCCATATGGCTCTATAGTGCAAAATGCATTGGCAGCTGCTCTCTATGGATCAAGGTGCAGTTTAATGCTGGTGTGTTCTGAATATTTAATTTCAGCCTCTGATCCACTGAGCTCAAGAAGCCTTGTTCAGTGAGGATAGGTTCAGCTGAAATGTTGCTAGAATTAAATAGTCTCCAAGCACCACTGTCTTAATTAACTTCCGGACAAAGATATCCAAGGTCACCTGATGCCCCTGGAATCTCAGCAATAGAAAATGCCTGGAGGAACAGAGGGGAAAATAATTGCAAACCATTGTAGACAATCAGCAAACCCACTGTAGCAGTTTGCTGGAGCTAATACTGGAACAGTTCATTTGCTCTTCTATTGATGTGTCTTAGTTTTAGCACTGCAGGGCACACACTGATGCAGTCTGCAGTTCCCACCTCTCTGTTACCACCACCATCGCTTCAGATCCATTTGGTTGACTGACAAGAACTTTTATAAAAACTTGCCGGGCAAAAGGCAACATTCCAGTTCAAAAACAAAACATCGCAGCAAACATTGCCCAGTTGCTATGGATTCTGTCAGCTGGTGACACAACACTGGGGCAACCTTGAAAACAGCTCCACCTTTATCCATTTGACCATATGCTGCACAGCCGCCAGGCAGAGGTTTTGGAAAGTGTATTCAAATATTTTCCTGATTTGAGTTAATGATGGCATTATCGGCAAGAGAAACTCCTGCACCAATGAAATCCCAGAGTACATACATTGCATTTAATGTATCCTAGACTCACTCAGAGCCCCCAAGAGAGACAATGATCCAAGCTTCAACATTTGATGAGATTTGAAGACCTATTACATACATACAAATAAGAAACAAATGCAGAAATATATTGTAAATGTGCACAATTTAACAGGACAAGGATAGCAGCTACAGTGTCTCAGACTTTGCCCCTGACACTTTAGCTCTGCAACAGGAATTCCATTCCTGTGACTTCAATACAGCAGCCACTCAGGATCACCCTGACCTATGGACATTAGATTAGACACTGCTCCAAGCTGCTCAATGAAGCATGGCCCTGAGAGATTAACTTGTCAAGTTACTAGGATCGGTTTCTGTCATGCTGGTTTGTCAAATCGAGTGGGAATGTGTCTTAGCCCATCAGTGCTTGGTTCCAAACTGGATTCTGACAATTTTGTTTTTATGTGGATAAAAAGAAACAAAGCAGTTTCTCTGACTGCAAGTGGATTTACCTGAAAGTTCAACTGAGCTGAAAGACAATGCTTGCTGTTACTCCTTAAATAAAAGTCTACTGGGCAGCTTGATTATCTGCCACATTCCCAACTGATTTGGTTCAAAAAGTCCTTTAAAATTGGCTTCAAATTATTTTTCCTTGCTCTTTTGGTGACCAAGAGCCATCTGGCTCCAAAGTTACCAAGGACCAGCGCACGCAGGCTACTCCAAGAATTCTGCGAACGTACATTATTTTCTGCAGCATTACACTCAGACTTAAGAATATTGCTAGCAATTTACATTTTCCCAGTTGGGAAAACAAAATGGGTGACGTGTAGTTTGAAAACCAAGAAAATGCCTCACTCTATGGTATGTTTACTCAATCTACTAATTATATTTAATTATAGGTCAAGCTCCACCTGAAGTCATTTATCATCATCATAAACAAACACTGACAGGAAGTGAGGATTGTAAACATACACATGAGAAATGTGAAATGTGTGTATGATATCCCTCAGGTTAAGGATCAGGCAACTTTACAAGGCAGGAAGCCTCAGTTTCAGCTATAAGGCAGACAAAAGGTGACAGTTCCTGCATATGAACAGCCTGAAGGGTTTTACTGCATCTGTATTTGAGTTGATCCCATGGAAGTTGCAGGGAAGAGGCAGGAGCTGAGGAGAGGGCAAGCAGAGACAGTTTGTAAAAAAAAGTCTAAAAGTGAAAGGATCGACAAGAGGGTGCAGATTTAAAGTAATTTATAGAAGAAGAAAAAGTGATGTGAGAGAACTTTTTCACACAATAAGGGTCCGAAATGTGCTGCCTGAGAGTGTGCAGGAGGCAGATTCATTCAAGATTTTCAAAAAGGAATTGATGGGTCTCTGAATGAGAAGAATGTGCAGAATTATGGGGAGAAGGAAAGAGGATGGCACTACGTAAGATGTTCTGAGAGCCAGCACAGACACAATGAGCCGATGGCCTCTTCCTGTGCTGTAACAATTCTGTGATTCAGTCTCAGAAGGTTCACGTGAATCATGCCTGAGGGTTGTAACTTAGACAGGTACAAGCTGAGGGTCAGCACAGTTTGATGCTGAAGCTTGAGGCAACTTTTCATCTCGCATCTTCTATATGTGACATGTGAAGCCCAAGAACAGTGAGGAAGCTGACCGACCTGTGAAGAGCATCTCCTCAAGTGCAAATATTGACGCAGACTTACTTTCATTAACTTAAGGCTAGGTTACTGATCAAAACAGTTCTGAATCTTTACAACTAGTAAATCCTTTATTAAAGTCATGTAAAAAAAGTCAATCCTGAACATTTATCTGCCCATTCAATGCAATTACTGTCCTCCCAGCTTCTGCAGATGTTATCAGCATATAAAAAAACCAGTTTTACTGCAATAACCCAGCTATGTGTTAACAGAATGATCATTTCAGAGTTTTCAGTCTTTAACCTACACATCCAACACAACCATTAGGTGTGTACACGAGATTAAAAATCTGAAAAGTGTAAAATAAAAGAAAGAATATTTATTTGGGAAGCCAGAAGAACAAGTTTGCCCAAAAAATGGAGGGAGAACAAGAAAGCAGCGTTTGACAGCACATTCACCTGCTCTCTGGTAACACATTATGTATATTTGGGGAATTCCTTCAGACAACACACACACACTAAGAACTTCTAAAGCAGTGTAAAAGGTGTGGCTTTCTCTAGGGTCAGATTTCACGTGTTCATGTCCAGTCATTGACTGTTGGTTTGAACCGATTGCCACTGCAGCGTCAGTTTGTGTTAAATACGTAATAGAGTTCACAGTCTGCAGCGATCTCTCCACTTTTTAAAAAAATTGATGACAGATCTGGAGTTAAATTGCAGCTGTCACCCACTGGGTTGTCAGGAGGTTGAGAGGATGGCAGTGAGGTACCCAAGTAGTCCCTCAACATGGCTACTTCCTGAAAAAATCACAGATTTAATCATTGAAAATACTGACAGCTGTCTCTAATCAATAGACTGCGGTCCCACGTTGATTGGTTCACAGCTACTGGACCTTGCCAGGAATCTTTGCTCGTTTGCGGGCAATGGCATCCTCTACAGCTTTCAGTTGTTTCAGCAGCTCCTCCCTGCGTGATAACGTGCTGGATTTGCTTGACTTTGCAGAGGATGTAGCAGTAGCAGAGGCTGTTGTGTCATGAGACTTGCTGGAACTTGAAGACACACTGGTCACTTTGCTTGAGACCTTTGATTGTGGTGATGGTGGCCGTTTTCTAAAAGGGGAGGCAAAAAAATGGTTTACATTCACATTGCCAGGCTTCTCCCACATCAACCTCAAATCCTCTCCCCTCTTTGTCCCTCCAGCATCTCCAACAATAAGCACAAGAAGGATCATGACTTTGTCACCAAGTTTAACACTCTTCACTTTCTCTGTCCCACTGGGCCAAGGCCCTCTAATGCTTCCCCTGCCCGAGCTCAAACTCTCATCTTTCTCTGTCTGTCCCATCTCCCCTCACGCGCTCTTCAAGCTCATCTTGTCCATGGGACTCATTCTACTACCTTGAACTATTTTCCAGTTAACTATAGGCTGCAAAACCATCAGACCTGACCTCCCTATGCCTGCTGATAACGTTAACAGTTCTCTCTCCCTTCACGTACTGCGTCTCTCTCACTCCTTTAACATCAGTGCAGATGAGTTGAACTGTATAACTCTATCAACTTATTATCTGCCCCTCTCAAAAATTCAACTCCTGACTTCACTGTCCTTGCAAATTCCATCCCATCTCCAAACTCCCTTTCCTTTCCAAACTTCTCGAAAGCATTATTACTTCTTAAGTTCATGCCCAGTTTTCTGCAGCTTTGTGTTTAAATTCCTCCAGTCAGATTTCTGTCGTCAGCAAAGTGCCAGAGTTGTTCAAAGCCATAAATCGCCTATAATGTATCTCTGATAAAGGTGATCATTCATCCTCACTCTTCATAACTTGTCAGAAGTCTCTGAAACAGTTAACATCACAACACTCCTCTCACCTGATTCCATTCTTTAGCCACAGAATGACTTGCAACAGCTTCTCTTCCTAGTCTTCTAGTACCTACATGCTTCCCCTTAGCAACATTATCCAACAAAACAACTTTAAGTTTTCATAGATATGGTGATGACACCCAACCGTACACAGCTGTAGCTCACAAACATCTCCTTTTACTCCCTGCTGTTGAAAAAATGATCAGACTGCTTATTCAATATTCAGTCATGAATGAGCTGAAGCTTCCTCCCAATATGAAACTACATCCATTGTTTTTCATACCCACTACATGTTTGTTCCCTAATTTTTAAAAATTCACTTAGGGGATATAGGCTTTGCTGGCTGGCCAGCCAGCACTTATTATCCATCACCAGTTGCCCTTGACAAAGTGGTGGTGAGCTGCTTTCTTCTGCTGTAGATAGACCCACAATGCTATTAGGAAGGGAATTCCAGGACTTCCTCCCAGGGCCCTGAAAGAACAGTGATATATTTCTAAGTCAGGACGCTGAGTGGTCTGAAGGATAACATGTGGGTGGTGGTATTACCATGCATCTGCTGCCCTTGCCCTTGCCCTTCTAGCTGGTAATGGCCATGGGTTTGGAAGGTGCTGTAGAAGAAGACTTGGTTAATTTCTGTTGTGTATCTTGTAGATAGTACATACTGCTGCCACTGAGCATCGGTGGTGGAGGGAGTGGATGTTTGTGGTCGTGGTACCAACGAAGCAGGCTGCATTGTCCTGGATAGTGTCAAGCTTCTTGAGTGTTGTTGGGGCTGCACTCAGCCAGGCAAGTGGGGAGCATTCCATCACTTTCCTGATTTGTGCCTTGTAGATGGGGGACAGGCTTTAGGGAGTCAGGAGCTGAGTTATTCAATTCAGAATTCCTAGCCTTTGACTTGCTCTCGTAGCCACTCTATTTATATAGCCGGTGCAGTTCAGTTTCTGGTCAACGGTAAACCCCAGAACGTTGTTAATGAAGGATTGCCATTGAATGTTAATGCGTGATGTTAGATTCTCTGTTGTTGGACATGGTCATTGCCTGGGTATTGTCTAGGTTTTGCTGCTTTTGGATATGGGCTGTTTTAGTATCTGAGGAATCCCAAATGGTACTGAATATCATGCAATCAGGAGTGAACATCCCTTACTTCTGACTCTATGATAGAGGGAACGTCATTGTTGAAGCAGCTGAAGATAGTTGGGCTCACGATATGACCCTAAGGGACTCCTGCAGAGAAGTCCTGGAACTGAGATAACTGACTAAAATAATTACAAGCAACTTCCTATGTGCCAGGTATGACTCTAACCAACAGAAATAAATCCCTCAATTCCCTGCCTCTACTTTTGCTTGAACTCCTTGATGTAACACTTGGTTAAGAGCAGCTTTGATGTGAAGGGCTGTCACTCTCACCTCACTTCCCGAATTCAGCTCTTTTGTTCACGTTTGAACCAAGGTTGTAACGAGGTCAGGAGCTGAGTGGCCCTGGTGGAATCCACCTCGGCATCACTGAACAAATTATTGCTAAGCAAGTGCAGCAATTGACTGGGTTGAATGTGATGTGCTTGTACAACACATTCTCAGGCAATTTTTCCACACTATCCTTAAGTGCCATTATCATAGCCTTTCCTTTTATTCACTCATGGGAAGTGGGTGCTGCACTGAGAAGGTGGTGGTGAGCTGCCTTCTTGAACTGCTGCAGGACATTTGCTATTGGTAGACCCATAATGCTATCAGGGAAGGAGGTACAGGATTTTGAAAACTGATATCACTTCCAGTTATGCAGTTTGGTATACAAACAGTCATGTGTTCTAGCTTCATCAGGTTGGCACCACAATTTAAGTATGCCTGGTGTTGCAAATGATGCTAGTTTTCAGCCAATTTAATTCATTCCATCTAATGAAAAGGAACAGCTGAAGGATATTGCTCCTAGGATGCCTTCCTGCATTCTTCACTGAACCAGGCTTGACTCCCTGACTTGATGGTAATCACACAAATGGTTTACCCTGTATCCTTAAACTGTGACCACTGATTCTGGACTCCCCGGTCAACAGGAAATGTCCGTTCTGCCTTTACCCTGTCTATTCTTGTTAGAAACCCATAAATAAAACTTCTAATATTCTGAGACAGAATATAACAATATGAGGCTGTTGTTTATCTACGAGACCACTCTCTAATTTTGGCACTAGCGCCCAAATGTTAGCAAGGAGGACTTTGCAGAGTCGACAGGGCTGAATTTGTTGCTGTGGTTTTCGGTGTCTTGGTCAATGCCAGGTGCTTTGTCTGGTTTGAAACTTTTGAGTGAATTGTTACAACTGTATAGCTTGGCCTTCTCAGAGGGCAGTTAAGAGTAACTACAAAATGTGGAGTCGCATGTAGGCCTGACCAGTAAGGATACAAATTATTTCTTTGAAGGACATTAGTGAACCAGATGGGTTTTTACAACAATCAATAATGGCTTCATGGTCATCATTAAACTTACAATGCCAGAATTTTGAATACAAATTTCAGCATCTGCTGTGAGCTTTACCTGGGTCTCTGGATTATTAGTCTAGCAAAACATCACTACATCATTGCCACCCGCTAGGAACATACTTTAGTTCTCTGCCTGGCAATTATCCAAGGCTGAATGAGACTGTTCACAACATGGTGTCTGGCTTAACCTCAAAATGAGCTTCTCACCACATATCGCTATCATCACTAAGATCGCCTGTTCCTCCTCTGTATCACAGCCTGATTCAAACTCTGCCTCAGCTCAGCTCCTGCGATAACTCTCATCACTGTCATGATTCTTGACTACCAATGAGTTCCTGTCTTAATTCTGTTATTCTCTTCTATGTAAACTGAATGTTATTCAAACCTCTGCTGTCTGTCTCTTTACTCATGCCAAGTCCTGTTCGCCCATCACCTCTGCAAACACTCACCTAGATTGGTTCCTTGTAAAGCCAAGCAATGATTTTAGCATGTTGTATATCAAAGACAAGTACTCTTGCATCGATTGAAGAACTATACCCTGATGCTGCACTGACTGTGATAATTCCCTGTTGCAAAATGGGCATGAATTATATTTTCTTTGAAAATTAGCACGATTGGCTACACTTTCTTCCGGAGTGTCACAAAATAATAGCTGGTAGGAAACAACTGACTACCAATCCCTATGGAGTCAAAGCAGAGAAAGGTTTACAAAAAAGCAAAGACCCTTCCTTGAGGATGTGCGATGTGGTGGTGAAGGAGCAGAGAGAAAATAGGAAATGATGACGGTACCATACTGCCTAGCCTTCTCACTCACTAAAAAGTTAACTGTGCAGCAGCTTTAGCACAGGCTGGAGACTAGAGCACCAAGCCCTTGGACAAAATCTAAATACTTCACATTAAACTACAGCAAACATACAGATGCTCAACACAGCAGAAAACAATAGTGTATAAAATATCCAACACAAGTGACCTGATTTGCTAAGAATCTCCACCAATATCTTTAGTGTGGTGGACCACAAAACAAGGACAAAATGATGGAGAAATAAATCAATGGTTGGGACTAATTGCACGCATTAAAACTTGGCTGAGGCAGGGATAATACAGATCAAAGAATGTAATACAGCACTGTGATAAGGTGCAATTCAGTAATCGAGCACATTATCACATATAGCATACCTACAGGCTAATACTGTGCCATTTCTAAACTGACATATTGCTTTCAAGAGAGTTCAAATATGTCAAACCAATTAATGTAAGCTAGAAATGAACTCTTTCTCTAGCAAGTGTTCTCTCACACTGTTCACCTGTCCTAATCAGAAGCACTTCCACCACCTTCAACTGTATCCAGACATTATGGAAAATACATTCAATGAAATCATCCTCAAATTAACCCACAGTTGATGTCACATGTTCATCTACTTACCGCTCTGCTTGGGCAGGAGATGACCTAACCATTGCTGGAGTTCGACTACTCTGACGATCACCTTTTGGTGACGGTGGCCTTCCAAACGCCTTCCGCTCACGATGCCCTAAAAACAAGACAATTCAGAACTTGAAAGTAGGGCAAAGCATGACCTCACAATTATGCACACAGCATTACTCCACAGTAGCTATACAGAGCAAAATCCTACATAAACGCAAGAAACACATGGTATGTCACGTAGCAACCAACAAAAACAAACAGCAACATCACAGTAACATAGAAAACTATTGTTTGAGAAATCATCAGCTATGGCTAAACCAGTGTCTTTAAAATCTTTGCAATGGTATCTCTCCTAAGCAGTGTAGCATATAAGAAATAGGATCTTAAACTCAACATTCCTAAGTGTTACGAAGGAGTGGTGAAATAAAACGAACTCCTGCTCGTTACTCTATAAGCAACAAGTAACAATTTATTTATCTGACTCTAACAATGATCAAATTAACAGAACTACTAACAAACCAAACAATGCCCCCCAACTTCTAACTATTGCTGAATAAAACAAAATTCTAATGGTATGCTGTTCCAATAAAACAAGTCCCACTTACATAAACAAAAGTAATAAGAAAAAATAAATTAAAACTTAGACTCTCAAAACTACAGTCAGGATGTGTCTTCTGGAACATTTCATGCCTTTTCCGCTATTCTTTAGTCAGGAATTCTTTCTCCGTTGAATCCTTGTGTCAGGAACATTAGCTAAGAGAGTCCAGTGGTACCTTTTAAATGGAGCTTAAAGTTTTCTGTCAGAGCCAAAGTTTTACTCTTCTGATGGCAGTTCACTCTTGCACTGATTTTCAAAAACCCGCTTCTTATATACCATCGATGACCTGTCAATGTTCTTACAATATGAATGGGCCTAGGTTGTCAACACCATCAGATTTAAATTCAACTGGTTTTCAGTCTCTAAGTGGTTTAAATTAATTGGCCAAACTCAAAAACCTGTTGTCTTGGTTAAAATTTTGCTTTGCCTGCTAACAGTACAGGCTTTTGATAAAATGTTTCAATTTCAAGAACTCTCTGTGCATCTACTGCTGCCCACAGACATCTTTTTTTAATCTCCAAGCCTAAAAATACACATACCTTTTAAAGGGCCCATGCACTCCTCCCTCCCATCATTTTACAAACAAATTCTAACATCCTGCCTTCCAATCCACACGTACTATACCAACTTTGTAACACTAGGGAACAGGCCTTAACTCCAGTTTTCTACCTGCATTCCATTATAAATCTATAATCTATAGATCATTGGCCTCTCCTTTTCTTAATGTTACACAGATTTTGATCTACAAGAGAATCACTGGTTAAAGAGGGTAGAAAAGTGGAGTTGTACCACAGTTAAATCACCTACAATCTTACTGAATGGTAAAGTAGGCTGGAGGGGCTGAATGGCCTGCACCTGGTCCTTTAAACATTTTTATGTTACTTTATTTTTCACAGTTTTGAACATTTAAGTATTGTAAAGATTTGTAAATTTTATGCTTTCAATTTCATTGTTTACAATACTGCCTTTATGTCATAAACAACTTGAGCATGTGGCTCTCTATATTACAACATCCAAATTGTTGGTAAACAGTGAGTGGTTAAGGTCCCAACAAAGATCATTATGGGACACCAGATACAAGCAGAATGGGCCGAATAATCAGCCTTTGTTCTTAGATTCTCTAGTCCTTTTCATTTTGTTACCACTGCATCCATCTTCCTCCGTACACCAACTCTCCGCTGAAAAATGTTACAGGAAAATCTAGCCTGTGGTTCACATGCCATTACCAACCTCTTTCTGGAGAAACTGTAACCCGTTTGGATGGTGGAGAGGACGGTCTTTCCTTATCAGAAGGTTCATACCGTTTTCTGGTGCCCTTATCAGCTGGCTAAAATAGACAGATAGCGTCAATATCTCCACAATACAGTTATAGATCATGATCAAGCGTCATCTGAATCAACTATGTTTACTAATTAATATTTCATTATGGAAACTGGTGACAGTAATAATTCCACATGGGAATGTAGCCAGAGGTAAGCCCATGGCACCATGGGCAGCCCTGTTGTACAGATGCAGTATAATTTGGATAAATGTGAGGTTGTTCATTTTGGGAGCAAAAACAAGAAGGCAGATTACTACCTGAACAGCTGTAAATTGGGAGAGGGGAGTGCGCAGTGGGACCTGGGAGTCCTTGTGCACCAGTCACTGAAGATAAGCATGCAGGTACAGCAGACAGTAAAGAAGGCAAATGGTATGTTGGGGATAGCAAGAACTGCCGATGCTGGAGTCAGAGATAACAGTGTGGAGTTGGAGGGACACAGCAGGCCAGGCAGCATCAGCGGTGAAGGAAAGTTGACGTTTCAGGTTGGGACCCTTCTTCAGCAGGCAGTAAAGAAGGCAAACTGTACATTCACATTCACTGTGAGAGGTTTCGAGTACAGGAGCAGGGATGTGTTGTTGCAGTTGTACAGGGCCTTGTTGAGAACACACCTAGACTATTGTGTGCAATTTTGGTCTCCTTTTCTGAGGAAGGATGCTTTTGCTGTCGAGGGAGTGCAGTGAAGGTTTAGCAGGCTAGTTCGGGGGATGACTGGTCTGACGTATGAGGAGAGATTGACTAGGTTGGGATTGTTTTTGCTAGAGTTCAGAAGAGTGAGGGGGATCTCATGGAGACTTAAAAATTCTAACAGGACTGGACAGGGTAGATACAGGGAGGATGTTCCCAATAGCGGGTGTGTCCAGAACCAGGGGTCACAGTATGAAGACAGTATGCGGGTAGACGATTTAGGACAGAGATGAGGAGACGTTTCTTCACTCAAAGATTGGTGAGCCACAGGAAGTAGCTGATGCTAAAACATTGAATGTATTCAAGAGGCAACTAGATACAGCACTGGAGATGAATGAGATCAAAGGTTATGGGGAGAAAGCAGGATTAGGCTATTGAGTTAGACGATCAGCCACGAAGAATGGCGGAGCAGACTCAAAGGGCCAAATGGCCTCCTCCTGCTCCTATCTTCTACGTTTCTTAAGAAAAACTGTAGAGAAAGCTGCAACAGAATGAGGCTGAGGAAGGTACTTGTAGATGGGCTTGTGGGGGAGTTGTGCATGAAACACAGAAAGCTAGCACACAGGTGCAGCAGGTATTCAGAAAGGCTAATGGAATGTTGGCCCTCATTTCAAGGAGGTTGGAGTATAAGTGTAGGGACGTCTGACTGCAACCGTACAAGGTGGTGATTAGACTACATCTGGAGTATTGTGCCCAATTTTCAGCTGCCCCCTTATTTCAGAAAATACATTACTTCAGAAAACACATTATTTCATTGGAGGCAGTTCAGAAAAGGTTTGCTAGAATGATCCCTGATATGGAGGGATTGTCGTGTGAGCAAAGGATAAACAGTGGCACTGTGGCTTTGCCTCACAGCCAGGGACACCGGTTCGAATCCACCCTTGGGCGGCTGTCTGTGTGGAGTGTGTACATTCTCCCTGCGTCTGCATGGGTTTTCTCCATTTGCTCCAGTTTCCTTCCACAGTCCAAGATTTGCTGGTTAGGTGGATTTGCCATGCTAAATTGCCCATAGTGTTGAGGGATCTGTAGGCTAGGTGGATTAGCCATGGGAAATGTAAGGATAATGGGACAGGGTAGGGGGATGGGTCTGGGTGGGATGCTTGTCAAAGTATTGGTGTGGACTTGATGGGCCAAATGGCCTTCTTCCACAATGCAGTGATTTGGGTGAAGAAATGTCTCCTCATCTCCGTCCTAAATCGTCTACCTGAATCTTCATACTGTGAACCCTGGTTCTGGGCACACCCACTATCAGGAACATCCTCCCTGCAGCGATTCTATGAAGAATTGGGTTGTGCTTCTACTTGCCTGAGTTTATAAGAACGAGAGGCGATCTAATTGAAACATACAGGATTCTTAAGGGGCTTGACAGGGTAAACACTGAGAGGATGCTTCCCCTCTTGGGAGAGTCGAAAACCAGGTGATATAGTTGCAGAAGAAAGGGGTGCCGATTTAAGACAGATGAAGAAGTTCTTCTCTCAGAGGGTTGAATGTCTTTGGAACTCCTTGCCATAGACAAATGAAGGGGCAGAGTCCTTGTGTATACTTAAGGCTGAGACAGACAGATTCTTAATCAGTTGGGGAATTGAGGGTTATGGGGCAAGGGCATGAAAGTGGACATGACGAATGTTGCATCTGCCATGATTCTATTGAATGGCACAGCAGACTCGAGGGGCCTGTTCCTCTTTCTTATGGTCTAAAAGGACCTAGGTGTCCTTGTCAATAAATCAACGAAGGCTAATATGCAGGTGCAAGAAACTTTTAGCAGGCTAATGAAATTCAAACTTTATTGCAAGTGGATTTGAGTACAGTAGTGAAATCTTGCTTCAACTGTATAGAGGTGGCTAGCTCCCACCTGAAGTATTGTGTGTAGTTTTGGTCTCCTTATCTCAGGAAAGATGTTATTGCCATGCAGGGAGTGCAATGAAGATTCATCTGGGATGGCAGGACTCTCCTATAAAGAGAGATTGGGCAAACTGGGCTGGTATTCTCACATGTTTTAACAAGGGAGGCAATCTCATTGAAACTCTCAAAATACTTAATGGAAAACAGGGTTGACACAAGTAAGATGTTACCCCTTGTTGGGAACCTACAACTAGATGTCTTGATTTAAAAACAAGGAGGATGCCACTTAGGTCTGAGATGAGGAAAATTCTTTTTAATCAGAGAGTTGTGAACCTTCGGAATTCTCTACCACACAGGGCTATGGAAGGTCTTCGCGCCGTTCAAGGTAGAGATTGATTGACTTCTGATTAGTAGTGTATACAGGGTTATGGGAATTGGATGAGTAAAAGGCATTGAAGTGTTCAATGAGCAATGACTGTACTGAATTGCAGGGTAGGGTTGACAGGCTGAATGGCCTCCTCTTGTTTATATGCTCCTATATGTTCTTTTTATATCACATTCAGGCTCATTTCACTTGAACACCTTAAACCAGAGATGAATGTTGACCTATCAGTGAATTAAGAGGAAAAGTGCCTATAAGGAAGTGAATTCTGGCTATTCCCAATCACCAACCACTGTTGAATCAGACACCAGCACAGAACACTTTCCATATTTGTGCAAACTTGGGAGAATCAGTGTACAGAAAACACAGTATGCTTCTTAAATTAATGTGAAGTAGGGAGCTGTACAACAAATTGGGTTTATACAGTCTTTCTTTACCTGATCCAGCAGGTGGACAGTGTACTTTCACCTGAGATTACCGTGAAGTTTCCATCTTCTCGACCTAGCCCCTCACCTGTAGTGTGATGACCCTCAGATAAAATCACCACCAGTCGTCTCTCTCTCTCTCTCTCTCTAAAGAGAGCAGCTCTAGTGCCAACTGGGACTATGGTGACTTTATCTTACTTTACCTTTTACCTACAGCCCTCTTCCAAAACGTAGATCTGGGTTGACTCCAGTTTGATCTTACCAAGATTCATTAGAAAATGATAGGTGCAAAATTGTCTCTTCACTCTATCAGTTGCTGTTACTAGTAGTAAGTGGCTCCCACCGTACTAGCAGAATTTGCTGGTGAATGACACTGAACCTCCTGTTATAGTGAGCACATATAAAATCAAAATACTGAAAATGCTGGATATCTGAAATAAATACAGAAAATGTTGGAGAAACTCAGCAGCTTTAGCAGCATCTGTGTTGAGGGAAACAGAGTTAACATTTCAAGTCCAATGACGTTTCTTTTTCTGAACAGCATTTGGAAGACAACTTTTTCAGTTTCATCATTCTTATTTCACTCAAAAGGTACATAAAAAAAATTCTAGCATATAACGAGGTGAGTTTACCTTGTTTAGCAGTGTTAATTTAATGTCCTTATGTGCACTGTAGACAAGCTGTGGGGGTTTGCTGATCTGAGTGGGTTTTGGTGTGGAGCTAGATTTCTGTGGCTGTGGTGGAATCTCACGTTTCCGCCTCTCCTCTCGCTCCTTGTCTCTTGGTGCCTCCTCTCTTTTGGGTTTCACTGAAAATGGATTGAAGTGTTTTAAGCGTTGCTTCCTTAGTGACTGAATGGGAAGGAACGTGAGTGAGACTGGAAAAGGAAATGTTAGATTTTACTCCGATAAAGGAAAATTGAACTGCAAGGATTGTTTCACAAGGGTGTAGAAATTAACCAACAAGTTTCACATTCCACAATCTTACAGTAGGGGGTAAAAGATCACAGAATTGTTACGCTACATTCAGCCCACCGTGTCTGTACTGACTCTGAGCAATTTAACTTAGTGCTCAACAGCTGTCTCTTCCCACATCCACACAATGCATTCCAGATCTAACTACTTGCTGTGTGAAAAAGTTTTCTTTCTCTCCTCATATTGCTCTCTGGTTCTCAATGCATGGATGGGAGCAGTTTCTCCCTATTTACTCCAGACACCTCATGCTTTGAAAACCTCTACCAAATCTCCTCTTAGCTTTCCCCCTCCAAGGAAAACACTCCAAACTTTTCCCAATCCTTTGAACTTAAGTTTGTAATCTCTGAAATCATTTTGGAAAAGTCCTTCTGCACTCTCTCCAGTGCATTTATATCTTTCCTACAGTGTGGTGCCCAGGACTGTACACAATACTTATGTAAGTTTATTACAACTTTCTTGCTTTTGCACTCTAGGTTGTAGAAAAGAAATATGGAATGCTCTAGTTCATTGGCAGAGGTATGGAATACAAAAGTAGGGATATAATGATGGAACTGTATAAGACACTAATGTGGGCACAACTGGAGTATTGCGTGGAGTTCTGGTCACCACATTATAGGAAGGATGTAATTGCTCTGGACAGAGTGCAGAGAAGATTTACTGGAATGTTGCCAGGGCTGGAGAATTGTAGCTACGAGGAGAAATTGGTGTTGCTTCCCTTGGAACAGAGAAGGCTGAGGGGTAATGCGATTGAGGCATACAAATTGTGAAGGAACCTGTTTTCCTTGGCAGAAAGTTCAAAAACCACGGGTCATAGATTCAAGCTAAGTGGCAGAAGGATTAGAGGGGATGTGAAGAAATTTTTTTTAAAAATCTGCATGGGTGGCAGGTATCTGAGTTCGCTGCCTGAGTTGGTGGTGAAGGCAGAGACCCTAAACTCCTAAAAGTACCTGGATCTGTACCTTAAGTTCTGCAGCTGCAGGGCTATGGGCTTGGGGCTATATGCAGGAAGATTGGATTAGAAAGGACATTTGGGTGTCTTTAGGTCAGCACAGACAAGATGGGCTGAACAGTCCTTTTCTGCGCTGTTTCATTTCCACGGCTTCTATGGCCTTAATGAAGTCTAGAACACTGTATGCTTTACCAACTGCTCCCTTGAACTGTCCTGTTATCTTCGATGACTTAGTATATCGGCATCCAGGTATGCATACACTTCAGAATAAGACCCTTTATGCTGTATTTTCATGTTCTTTGTACCAAAGTATCACCTCACACTTGTCTGCACTGAATCACAGCTGCCATCTGCCTGCCAGTGCATCAATCTGTCAATGATTGAAGTTACCCTGTTCTTCTGAAGAAAATGCAACTAATATGTTGTAAAACACTTTGGGAGATCTGAGGACGTGAAATATGTCACATAAATGCAGGATCTATCTTCCTTCAACAAACTACCTGACCGTTGTCACCAGTTGAAGTATGTAACTGCATTTGAACTTTCCTCAATAAAATACTGCTCAGGTTTTTTAATGGGATCTCAGTAGGTGCCTGACTACACGCTGAAATGTTACTCTTTTCATTAAGAAGTTTGTCCTTCATGCCACACATTTTTAGGAACGTAAGAACAGGATAGGCCATTCAGCCTCTCAAGCCTGCTCTGCCATTCAATAAGATCATGGCTGATCTATAGCCTAACTCCTTATGCCTTGAAACTCTTTCTTAATAGAAGTTCTGCTGATATCAGATTTAAATTTAACAACTGAATTAGCATCGACTGCTGGTGGAGGAAGAGAGCTACAAAACTCCTCGACTCTGCATGCAGAAGTATTTTTTAACATCTCCCCTGAATGACTTGGCCCTAATTCTTAGACCGTACCCTGGGTTCTAGAATCTTCAACCACTGGAAATAATGTATTTTCATCTACTCTGTCCTTCCCTGTTAATATTCTGAAGACCTCGATTAGATCATCCGTTAACCTCCTAAATTCTAAAGAATAAAGGCCTAATTTGTAACATCTGTCCCCATAACTGAAGCCCTGAAGTCCAGGTATCATCCTTGTAAACCTGCACTGTACTTGCTCCCAGGTTAAAACATCCTTAGTGAGGTGTGATGCCCAGATATGGTCATAATACTCTTAACTGAGGTCGAACTAGGATTTTGTATAAGTGCAGCATAATATGCCTATACTCTAGCCCTTTGGACATAAAGACCAGCATTCCATCAGCCTTCTTGACTATTTTCTTCACCCGTTCATGGCATATTAAAGAGCTAAACAGCTGAACCCCAAAATCGCATTGGACATCCACTATATTTAACTTTTGTTTCTTCGAGAGAAAAATCTTGATAAATCCTTTTTTGGTCCAAAATGGAAACTTCATGCTTTCTTATATTAAAATACATCTGCCACAATCTTGCCTATTCACTAAACTTTCAATATCCTGTTGTAATTTAATGTTGTTGGCAATAATTTTGTGTTGTCAGCAAATTGGATTTTTGCCGTTTTATGCCATTATCCAAGTGGATAACTGAGGCCCCAACAGAGGGGAGGTAATGGCCTAGTGGTATTAATGCTGGACTGTTAATCCAGAGACGCAGACAACGTTCTGGGGACCCGGGTTCGAAATCCATCATGGCACATGGTGGAATTTCAATTCTATAAAATATCTGGAATTAAGAGTCTAATGATGACCATGAATCCACTGTCGATTGTCAGAAGAAACCCATCTGGTTCACTAATGCCCTTTAGGGAAGGAAACTGCCATCCTTACCTGGTCTGGCCTACATGTGACTCCAGACCCAAAGCAATGTGGTTGACTCTGAACTGCCCTCTGGGCAATAAATGCTGCCGAGCCAGCAACGCCCTCATCCCGTTAATGAATGGAAAAAAAGGACGAGTTATGTCCTGCCAATTTGAGTAGTTACACGTTATTCCAACTCTGTTTCCTGTCATTCAACCAATTTCCTATTCTATCCATATCAGTAATTTGTCCTCAATTCCGTGGGCTTCCACCTTAGCTAGCGTCTTGCCCATAAGACTTCATCAAAAGTCTTTTGATATTACAAATTATTATTACAAACCAGGACTATTACAAATCGGACGGTCTACACCGGGGCAGGACTGGAACCAATGTCCGAGGGGCTGTTTTTGCGAATGCTGTTGGGGAGGGTTTAAACTAATGCGGCAGGGGGATGGGAACCAAATGAGGAGGTTAGTGGACAGTAAGGAGGTAGTAACTAAAGCCTGTAAGGAACTAGATAATGAAGTCAGTGTGACTAAGGGGAAGAGTAGGCAGAGAGGAGATGATGAACGCAAAGGGACAGGTGGTCTGAGGTGCATTTGTTTTAATGCGAGAAGTGTAGTAGGTAGGGCAGATGAACTTAGGGCTTGGATTAGTACCTGGGAGTATGATGTTATTGCTATTACTGAGACTTGGTGGAGGGAAGGGCAAGACTGGCAACTAAATATCCCAGGATATAGATGCTTCAGGCGGGATAGAGAGGGAGGTAAAAGGGGTAGAGGAGTTGCATTACTGGTCAAAGAGGATATCACAGCTGGAGGACTCAAGCAGTGAGGCAAGATGGGTAGAGCTCAGAAATAGGAAGGGTGCGGTAACAACGCTGGGGCTGTACTACAGGCCTCCCAACAGCGAGCGTGAGATGGAGGTACAAATATGTAGACAGATTATGGAAAGATGTAGGAGCAACAGGGTGGTGGTGATGGGAGATTTTAATTTTCCCAACATTGACTGGGATTCACTTAGTGTTATGAGTTTAGATGGAGCAGAATTTATAAGGAGCATCCAGGAGGGTTTTATGGAGCAGTATGTAAATAGTCCAACTCAGGAAGGGGCCATACTGGACCTGGTGTTGGGGAATGAGCCCGGCCAGGTGGCTGAAGTTTCAGTAGGGGATTACTTTGGGAATAGTGATCACAATTCCATACGTTTTAGAATACTCATGGACAAAGACGAGAGTGGTCCTAAAGGAAGAGTGCTAAATTGGGGGAAGGCCAACTATAGCAAGATTCGACAGGAGTTGGGGAATGTGGATTGGGAGCAGCTGTTTGAGGGTAAATCCACATTTGATATGTGTGAGGCTTTTAAAGAGAGGTTGATTAGAGTGCAGGACAGACATGTCCCTTTGAAAATGAGAGATAGAAAGGGCAAGATTAGGGAACCATGGATGACAGGTGAAATTGTGAGACTAGCAAAGAGGAAAAAGGAAGCATACATAAGGTCTAGGTGACTGAAAACAGACGAAGTTTTGGAAGAATATCGGGAAAATAGGACCAATCTGAAACGAGGAATTAAGAGGGCTAAAAGGGGTCATGAAATATCTTTAGCAAACAGGGTTAAGGAAAATTGCAAAGCCTTTTATTCATACATAGGGAGCAAGAGGGTAACTAGAGAAAGAGTTGGCCCACTCAAGGACAAAGGAGGGAAGTTATGCGAGGAGTCAGAGAAAATGAGTGAGATTCTTAATGAGTACTTTGCGTCAGTATTCACTGAGGAGAGGGACATGATGGATGTTGAGGTTAGGGATAGATGTTTGATTACTCTAGGTCAAGTCGGCATAAGGAGTGGGGGCAAGTGTTGGGTATTCTAAAAGGCATTAGGGTGGACAAGTCCCCACGTCCGGATAGGATCTATCCCAGGTTACTGAGGGAAGCAAAAGAGGAAATAGCTGGGACCTTAACAGATATCTTTGCAGCATCCTTGAGCACGGGTGAGGTCCCGGAGGACTGGAGAATTGCTAATGTTGTCCCCTTGTTTAAGGAGGGTAGCAAGGATAATCCAGGTAATTATAGACTGGTGAGCATGACGTCAGTGGTGGGGAAGC